CGCGGGCAGGAGGCGTCACAGTGGTGGGGGCTGGGCCCTGCCCGGTGCTGCCGGATCCGGAGGCGGCGGGGAGGGGCCTCGTCGGCGGCAGGCAGCGCGGCCCCTTCCCCCGCCCGCCTCTGCAGTGCGGGGGTGCCTGGCCTGGTTTTTGAAGGGAACTAGGACCTGAGAGCCGCAGGTTTTGAACCCGTGGAAGGCGGCGGGGTGGAGGGTGGTCCTGGGTGGTTCTCCCCCCCCGTGCAGTTTTTTAAATCTCTAGCCTGCCTGGTAGAAACGTCAGGCGCCGTTTCCCCAGGGCTCCCTGCATGCAGTGCTGCTGCTTGCCTCACCCGGCCTGGAGCTGGCGTTTGGGTTCGATTTTAGCACAACAGAGATGCAGTGTCTGTCTGCAACTCTCCTGGGCCTTTGTGGGGTGACCCGCCAAGGAAATGGGGGCAGCTCTTTCTGCTGCTTCATCAAATCACCCCATATTGGAAAGCTTGTTTTGAATGTTTAGCTTCATCTCTTCAGAGATCATACTGAGAAGGTCGGGCAATAATGACAATCTCCTGAGAAGCCTTATCGCTTTCCTGACTTTATTCAGGTTGCAGGATTTAGCATTTGGGGAAATGTGGCAGTTACAGAGCATCTCCTTGAAAACCTGAGGCATGTCATATGAAAGCTGATTTTTTTTTTTAAAGGAAAATTATGCAAAACATCCTGTTTACATTCGTTATGTAAAACAGTTAACTTCTGGACCCAGATGGTAAGGGTCTGCGCAAGGTCTGGTCTTTCTTTGCCTGATGGCAATTCATTGTTTTGACTTCTGGAGGCAGGAGGGCAGTTCTTCAAAGTAGCATAACATCTTACAAGATGGAACCAAAATAAGGAGTGGCATTTTGCTATTTGCTATTCAGTATTTTCTGAAGGAGGCTTTTGAAATTGGGGTATGTCATCAAGAGGCCTAAGTTGATGCAGCTGTTGCTAAACAAAGAATGAGGTATTTTAGCTTTTGTAAATTTGTGACTGAATATTACCTCCAACTGTCTAGTTCTTCAGAGTATATCACTTTTAATGCAGGATTGACAGCAGCATAAGTAGCTGAATCCAATTTGAATACTTCAGGGTGTTTAGGCATTTTTGTTTTGTTCTTATTTCACTACTTGAGATAAGGGGTTGTGATGGAGGCCGTTAACTCCTAGAGACGTGATTCTCAAGCAGGGTCTGTGGCACCTGGAGTTGCCTTGAGATTCCTTAAGGGGTGTCATGGGGTAGCACTGCGAGGTGTGCAGATATAATTCACGAGGTAAACCCAGAGATTTCAAATAGGAATCCATAGTGTTAAAAATGTTCTGACCTGTTTTGGTCCTTCTGAGTTCGCTGAAGTGGAAGAATTGCTGTATTATTTTACTGTGGTCAGAAAACAGGTGAAAGTGAGAGAGGGCATTTACCCAGAAGTGCGTTCAGTCTGAAGAGATTGAGAACAGCTGTCTTAGAACTATGAAGTTGAAAACTTCAACTGGTAAAAGACTGACTATTTATCTTAATGTTCAAGGAGAGGAAAATGCTCAACAGTGGTGATGGGCTGCTGGATCTGATTAAGTATGCCCTTGGTCCGGTTTTCAGCACTCAGTTAAAAAAAAAAAAAAAAAA